TACTTGTGTGTGTGTGTGTGTGTGTGTGTGTGTACTTTGTCTCGATGAAATAAATGAAGAGTTAAAATAGTTGATTTTATTCTGTAAGTTGTCCAAATTTCTTGATCCCAGAATAGTTGTCTGAGACGTGAAAGATTTTTTTGTGTTTATGTTAAACATAAGTTAGCAATGGGATATCAAGATTAACATATACAGCTTAATGTGCATACAAGTACAATCAGTTTGCAAAATATATGCACATGTATGTGTAATTTAATGCACGTACATGTAACCAAAAACATACTCTCTCATTTTATTATTTAGTTATTTGAAATGAAAAATGATAACCAAAACTCGGCAGATCTTTGTTCATTTTATTCTCTTTCCTTTATGTGTTAAGTTGAGAATACTTTTTGTGTTTTATTTATGTGTATACACTAAGTAATGATGTATGTATGCATACATTATCCCCCACCCGTTAATATTTTGCCAATCACATGTTAGTGGGAAAGTAGTAATTGCAGTAATTTTTAATAGAATTATTAATAAATATTAACTTGTATGACTGGAACTTTTAGTACATTGTCTTATTTCGCCCTCATTGTAGAAATTCTCGGAACTGGTTTGTTCAGTTTTTACTAAGGTGATTATAGTTTCACCACTTCTTAATGGAAGTGTATCTTTTGAAATTGGTGGTCTATTACAATGTTGTCATAAGTGGAGATTTTCCTGTTATTTATCAGTTAAAGTGTTGAAAAGTTATGTTTAAATAACCGGATACTGTTCTAAGACAATGTATGTAGGAGAATATATCCCTTCAGCAGAATGTTTAAATTCATGTAACCTGTTTATGTGAACAACGTTGTATTCTTTCAGAGTGATCAGTTCAATGTCAAGAACTTGAAAACGCTTCATGTAGACCTGAATATTCCCATTCCTGAAGCTCCGTATTCTAACCACGAACTAGAGGAGGTTGGTCAAAAATATTTGTTTTCTTGTTAGTAGCTTTAGTATGTTGCAGTGGTGGCTCAGATATTTTTTTGTTATTGTGCACGAGTTAGACAAAATATCGTATATAGCATGGGATTCGCTTCTTACAATTAGCTTATAAATATGTGAACTTCAGCATTTATTGTACCAGTTTTACTAAATAATATTACATTATTAGTACTTGTGTAATTGTAACTGGACAGTAACAATAGTTGTTTGGTGTAATAAGAACATAAGCTGCCAATTCATTAAGTTAATCTTAGGTTAAAAGTTACTTGAAAAACAATAATATTATGAATAATTTCTTAAGAAGTATTAAGAACCATTAAAACCTGTTAAAATGTAAATATTTTTTGTTATAATCGGAAACCAAAAACATTGAACCCTAAATGTTGAAATTAGAACCAGGATCGGATGAGTTTTGACTTGCATCCATGCTTGCTGGGCATGCTCTAACCACCATTTTCAGCAGAATCGAATGTTTCAAATCTCATTGGTCGTTTGATGAGGATGATCATGGCTAAATACTCGTGCTCTACTTTACTGAAATCATTTTTTAAACTCAATATATGAAGTATAACACCATCATGTATAGCTCTTGTAAAGTTTCTGAATAACACAATTCCTGCCATTGGTATCTTGACAAAACTGTGAAATAAAGCCCGCTGCTTTGATAGGTAAAATACCAAACAGGCAAGCAGTCATGTTCATTAGAATAATTTTTCTTTCACGAAACCTAAATAGAATTGATCTTCTGAATCTTTTTGTGCAAAACATTATTTTAAAATCTTTGTAAATAGAAATACCTAATTTTTATTTATGTGTACTTAATTTTTAACAAGATTTATGTCAATTGAATTTTTTTAAGGATACTGCTACAAATGTTTGAAGAAAGTAATATCAAATTATAACTTTAAAACCTGTCATATTTTTAATGGAATTGTATCAGATAGATTTTTCAACACCTGCCAAATTTTTATTTGAGGTTTATTGATGTTTTAATTATTTTCATTTGTAACATTCTAAGAAATCCAAACATTTTTTTAGTAAAGATTTAGCTTTGCCATATTTTGTTTGTGTTCCGTCAAAAGAATTGCAAAATTCTGCGACCCTTAATTTGGGCTGATCACATCCCACATTGATTAGATTAATTAGCTCTCAGTTTGTCCTGCTATATATGTATGCTTTCATATTATAGCTTACACTGGCTTAATTTTTTTATTACAGTTTCCATCAAAAAAGAGAAAATTTACCTATATTGATAATGACAAGTGTGGTAAGCCTTTCATGCATATTTTATTTGGCAAAAAATATTTTTTAACAGAAATCATATTATCATTAAAGTCTATGCAAGTCTTAAAAACTAAGAAACATCCAGAGCTATTGGAGTCATTCATTGTCATGGTTAGTAGCCTATATGATCATCTTAGTCTAATTATTAAATTGTTAAATGTTTTTATTATATTTATAATTAAATCATAAACCAAATCACCCCAGCAATGTAAAGACAGGCACCATAAAGTGTATGGTTTCAAAAATGAACAAGACTTTTAGTATTGAAGAAGCTTAAAAGGTGAAAGAAATATTCATCACCAGAACTCTCCTTAACAATGTTTACCGAACCATAAACAAGGACATAAACAAGATAAACACCAAGAATAAACAGATATACTGCCTTAATCGTGTCCCCCTGGTGGGACAGCAGTAAGTCTACGGATTTACAATGCTAAAATCAGGGGTTTGATTCCACTCGGTGGATATCGCAGATAGCCTGACGAGGCTTTGCTTTAAGAAAACACACACATGCCTTTTTCCTTATTATCAGGAGTTTCTCTGAAAACATGTAAACAACATATGAATTACATCAGTATTCAGAAGCCACTACACAAAATAATTACAAAAGTACATCATTCACAACATCACTTGTGAATGTGCATATTTTTACATTGAAGAAACAAGAAAATAAACAGACGAGACTTGGTGGTTTTCAAAATGGGGTTCTCCAAAATGCAAGTGTTTCACATATTCTAATGTGTGAATTCATTCTAGTCACATAATTCCAATCCAACTACATAATATTTCTTTTTCGAT